AAGGGGAAAGTGATTGTATAATTATTAGAATAAGTATCAGACAACGAATCAGTGTCATTCTGCTTATTAATACCCTGTTTTTGTCTTTTAATGTGAATCATCTCGGATACCAATCTTTTATTATATGAAGGTTCACTATCAAGAATTTTTATGTCATTCCAATTGATATTATGATCATAATTAATGCAATGATCTGTTATTACAGAAGGTGAACCTGTCCTTTTATTGATATCAGAAATATGTTCATTTATTCTAGTACATAATTTTTTTTTCGTCTGACCCACATAGCTAGCCTCACAATCGTCGCATGAAATTTTATACACTACATTTTGGTTTGATAATAAATCTAATTTGTCCTTTCCTCTTCTAATAAACCCTTTCAGAGTGTTAGGAATTGAATAGGCTAACTTGCAATGGAACATGGTAGAAATGGGAAGGAAACTTTCTGAGATGGATCTTACATAAGGAATTGTGAAATATTTATCCCTATTTTGTAAATTATTATGTTTATTATGTATAAGAAATTTTATTCTTTGTTGAATAGTGGAAAAGATGAGAGGAAGAGAAAAACAATTATTTAGGAAAATTTGGATAGCTTCTATTAAATTTTTTTGTTGGAAACAGGGATGTGAAACTTTGAAAATTTTGTCAATGAAACTAATAATTATGCCTTTTTTGTGGCAAAAAGGATGATTGGAGAGAAAATTGAGAAACCTTGCAGAGAATGTTAACTTGTGAAAAGTGTCAAAAATTATTCTCTGGTTTTTAATTATGATTAATGTGTCAAGGAAACTTAATCTATCATTTTTGCAAACCTCAATGGAAAACTGTAGTCTAGAATGTAATGAGTTAAACGTTTTGAGTGTATTATCTCTTATTTTCCTCCCCCTCTATGATTTCTTTCCTTGTCACCTTCCAGTTTGTGTTAAAATATTTAAATATTAAAACTGTCTCGGAAACATATCTGATAACATGGTTTTACTTTATTTCTTCGTTTGTCATATTCTGAATATTATGATTTTAATTCACGTCGCAAAAAATGATTAAGGTATGTTAATTTCTTTGTATTCGAAGTGGTTTAACTTGTTTTAATTATCATTAATTGAAGTAATGTAATACATAATATGTGTTACACAATAAACCCACTAAACAAAATTTTGTTCCAGCAACATTGTAATAACGTTATATTTAAGCTGTGCGACCTTTTCTGTGTTGTTTCAGAGTCGTTAATACAACGTTGCCACAACCAGAAATGTCCTCATGCATTTACTGTTCATATGTAATGTTCCATTTGTAACCTTTGTGAAACGTTTGATAAACATACATATAACGTTATTGTAAAGTTCATGTATAACGTTCCACTTACAACATTTGTGAAACGTTTGTAAAATGTATACAAGACGTCACTGAAAAGTTCATTCACAACGTTTCATTTGTAACGTTCGCAAAACGGTTGTTAAAAAAATATATATGTAACGTCACAAATGTTCTTTCTCTACGTTCCACTCGTAATGTTTGTGAAACGTTTAATAAACATATACAGAATGTCTCAAAATTCGCGACTAAAAATATTATAGCAAAAAAGATTCCGAAAATTTAAATAAAAAAGTAATTTGTAAATTTTTATTTTAAAGACGTTCACCGGCTACAATCGTAGCCAAAAGTTTACTGCTCGCTCGCTTCTCGGTGCATAGCGCATGTCTCTCCCCACTCCGCTTCCCATGCCAATACTTTTTCTGCTGAGTGTACTCACGCACAAGCAAACGGGGTTCGATGCCTTGTATGTATACACGCACACTAGCCTGTTGAGAAAAACGGAGACCCGTCTCATAGCAACGGCTCTCCTTCCATGCGGCGACTTACTTCAAGTGCTGTCGGATACACCACTTCGAACTTCGATAACTCAAAAACGGCACCGCTACGGATCCCCGTTTTTTTTTATGTTATTTCTAGCATCGCCCTGCATCATATCCTAATTTTTTAGAGCAATCGTATAGATATCACAGTCGCTACATGTTAAAAGCTGCAACTTTGAAAATTAATAACTCGAATTCGGTACCGCTAAATTTTCTGAATTTTGGAGGATATATCGATAATGATATTAATATCATGTAGTTAAAATTTGAAGCATTTTGTATAGAAATCGATTAGCCGGTGAACGTCCTTAAGTAATAATTTCTGAGATGTAACAGTTTTATAGTTATATCTCATAAATTATATTACTTAAAATAAAAAATTACGAATTAAATTGCTAAAAAATGGGCACATTTTGGCGTCACTCTTTTCGAAAGTTTTCTTGTTATAATGTTTTTAGTCGCAAATTTGGGGACATCTTTGCATACTCGATTATTACCAAAAACAGATATAATTCCATTTTTTTCATTATTTGAGTAATAGATGACGTTTTTTATGATATTTGTTTACCTGTAGAAGAAATTAACAAAAAATTATTTTTTGTTAATTATTTTCTACACAGAAAAATAAAATAATATCTCAAAAAATCCCATACAGCACCGAACTTACAACAATTCGTTGCAATAACGCTGCAATATTATAATATTGCTTTTGTTGAACTTTAGGACAACAGAGTGTGCATGTACATTAAATGCAATATAATATACCTTATACAATTAGAATGTTACTGCCAAATCCAAATAATTTCAAGTTTCTATCATTTGAGTTACTATAGTAACTTTGTGTTGTAGGAGATGTCATCTTTTTTATTTCTTAACTCAAATAATAGAAACATGAAATTATTTGGATTTGGCAATAACATTCTAATTGTATAAGGTACATATATTATTGCATTTGATGTACATACACACTGTCCTAAACCTTAACGAAAGCGATAAAAATTAAAAAAGCAAGGCGCAATCAATCACTTTTGTGTATATTATTGATATTATTTTATATATATATATTTATGAATTAATAAAATGTCGTACACATATTTTAAAATTTTCTAACTTTTTTATTTTATTTGTAAAAAATACAAACATATACTTAAATATATAATATATCTCTATATGTGTATATATATATATATATCTATTCATATAAGGGTTCGATGTTCTCCTTTTCATCTCGGCCTGTAACAGATAGATTCAGAATATAATGTATGGAAAATATATTTGTGAGAACAATATAATTTATAACTAATAAAGAGAAACATAAAAATCATTCGTAGGGGGGAATATTAATTCAAATTCAGTAATAACTGACCATTGTTTACAACAAGGACATGATTTTGATTGGAACAACATTCAAATTCTAGATGAAGATCCTTAAACGCCTCATCTCTGAGATGCTAAATATTAAAAAATAGAATAACAGTCTTAACCTACAGACAGACACAGAAGACCTTCATAAATCTTATATACCGATTATAAACAATTGGTTATTGACTTTGCATTATCATGATCTTAGTAGGAAGATTTCTATTTTTATTTTCATATACATATTTGTCATTATATTTAAGCGATTACTTCGTTTTTTTATATATGTTTTTTCGAAAATTATTATTATAATAAATATACAATTATTACGGTATATATATATTTTTAGCAGATTGCTTTGAGTCTCTTACGCACACAGGAATTGTTAACGAAATTTCAATGATATGCGAAAAATGAGAGAGATGGCGAGCGTCCACGTCAATTTATGTAATTTTTCTCTCTCTGTTTTTTATGTAATTATTATTTCATCTGTTTCTTATTTGTTATAATTCTCCGTTATATGCGTCTTTTAATTATTAACCGTTAATTTATACATTGATAATGATCCGACAGGGATCGAAACGTTTGTTTTTATTATGTTTTATTTGTTTCACATTATGTTTTTACTGTTTTTAATTTGTTTTTCTTATAATATGTTATTAAATTAGTATATTTGAATTAAATGTTTTTATTTTCATGGCTCGTAGTCCTGTTACGTTTTGATATTTTTGAATTTGTTAAGCCTTTTTAATATATAATTTTAAAAGTATTGTATACGTTTACATCAATAACGTTATTTCTTACTATATCAAAAATGTCGAAATTTGAGCCAAATAAACGTCATTTGCACGAAATGTTAATCTTTTGCTTCAAATGGAAGAAAACTGCAGCTGAAGCTCATAGAATGATTGTAGAAATTTATGGTGATAGTGCTCCTTCCGATAAAACATGTAGAAAATTCGAGGTTTCGACGCTTTCAATGTCGTTTTTGATGTGGAGAACAAAGAGCGTTCTGGACTGCCAAGAGCAAAGAATTGCAAGCATTGGTGGATGAAGACCCATATCAAACGCAAGAACAACTTGCAGAAGCATTAAATTGTGTTCAATCTGTTATTTCCAATCGTTTAAAAGCCTTAGGAAAGATCTTCAAGGAAGGAAAATGGATCCCATATGAACTGAAACCAAGAGATATTCAAAGGCGAAATTCTGTTTGCTAAGCAACAAAGAAAGGAGGTTTTGCATCGAATTGTGACTGACGATGAAAAGTGGATCTATTTCGATAACCCCAAACGTCGAAAAACCATTTGCGATCCAGGCCATCAACATCGACATCAAAACGCAATATTCATGGGAAGAAGGCCATGCTCTGTATCTGGTGGGACCACAAGGGTGTAGTGTACCATGAGCTGTTGAAATCTGGTCAAATAGTCACAGAGAATCTCTACCGAGAACAAATAATCCGTTGCGCGAAAAACGAACAGAATATGAGACAAGACAGCATAAAGTTTGCTTCATGACGCTCGATCTCACGTCACTAAGGCTGTTAAGGACGTTCACCGGCTAATCGATTTCTATACAAAATGCTTCAAATTTTAACTACATGATATTAATATCATTATCGATATATCCTCCAAAATTCAGAAAATTTAGCGGTACCGAATTCGAGTTATTAATTTTCAAAGTTGCAGCTTTTAACATGTAAGGTATAGCCCAAGCGTGCGCTCAAGTGACATTTCAATTCATAGCGACTATGATATCTATACGATTGTTCTAAAAAATTAGGATATGATGCAGGATGATGCTAGAAATAACATGAAAAAAAAACGGGGATCCGTAACGGTGCCATTTTTGAGTTATCGAAGTTCGAAGTGGTGTATCCGACAGCACTTGAAGTAAGTCGCCGCATGGAAAGAGAGCCGTTGCTATGAGACGGGTCCCCACTTTTCTCAACAGGCTAGTGTGCGTGTATACATACAAGGCATCGATCCCCGTTTGCTTGTGCGTGAGTGCACTCAGCAGAAAAAGTATTGGCATGGGAAGCGGAGTGGGGAGAGACATGCGCTATGCACCGAGAAGCGAGCGAGCAGTAAACTTTTGGCTACGATTGTAGCCGATGAACGTCCTTAAGGAAATATTGGAAGCAGTTGGCTGGGATGGGCTATCCCATGCAGCTTATTCACCTGACTGTGCCCCTTTTACTTGTTTGTCGGTCGATGGCACACGCACTTGCTGAGAAATGCTTCAATTCTTATGAAGACGTCGAAAAATGGGTCTTTGACTGGATAGCCTGCAAGGATGAGTCATTCTTTCGTTGCCGAATGCGCTTGCTGCTCGAAAGATGGGAAAAAGTCATTGCTAATGATGGACAATATTTTGATTGATGTACTTTTTCATTTTGTTTCTTAAATAAAATCATACTTTTTGCAAAAAAAACGAACGGAATTTCCAATTGACCTAATATTATTCTACCAGTTCTTTTGATGAATCTGTAGATTTACATTCGTAAATAATCCAACCTTGTTTCTATAGTATTCATATATCTATTTCCGTTATTTTTTCTCATAATTTCTGCACAATTGTTCTGTAACTCTTTTAATGCAAACGGTATTATTATAACGCCATCGCGCAGCTTTATTATCATAATAAAAAAGCAATGACGTTAAAACGATAACGAAATTTGCGATAAGCCTGCTGATTCAATAGTGCTGGACACACACACACGCACGCACGCACGCACAAGAGATGTAAATCCGATCAGGCAACCTCCACCTGTACATCTTGAATAACTGCAATACCGGCGGTACTTAAACTTTGAGGATTCCTAACTCAGGAAGTTCTTATCGGAAAAGAATTTATAAAACGTGCTTTGAAAACGACTCGACATAACCTACAAGAATCTGAAATAAAATGTAGAGGGTTTTATTTAAAAAAATTAAATTGACTTTGACGTGACCTTAACAACGTCATCCTAGATCAAATAACTACTATCGTGCGTATAAATGTCTTTTTAAACCTTACTTTTATCTGAAACATTTTTTTTTTTAATGTACATTGTGATAAGGCTCAATGTGTTTTTAAACAAATAATATAGAGAAAGAGGGCAATGAGCCAATAATTTCCTTAAAATCTTTAAATTAATCTAATATATTGCGAAGAATATCACGAAATTATGGCGTTTCGTCCCAGCTTCCACTACTGGACTCATCAGTAAGATATTGTAGTGGAAGCCTACCTTAGACGCCTGTTTAAATTATTAAATCGAGATTCTATATATACAGATATACGCGTATCAAAGCACTTGCGAGAATTTTTGCGAATATCTATAGACCTCTGATGGCGAGTCGACGTAGTAATATTCTTCGCAATAAATATATTAGATTAATTTAAAGATTTTAAGGAAATTATTGGCTCATTGCCCTCTTTCTCTATATAGTCCAGTCATTATGTACATTTAAATAATGAATAAATAATGAATAATGATAAAAAGAAAAAAAAATTTCTCTATATACTTTTTCTATAACTTGTAGTTCAAAAAAAAACCTTAAAAAACATATTCTAAAATAATTCTCCTTCAATGAAGCCTGACATATCCGCAAAAACGCTTCTGCGCCGCATATCGTTATGACCAACTCATCGCTGACGCGCTGGCGCCGATTCTCTACTTTGTGGCGCTCTACAAGGCGCAATTTTTATCGAAACGAAACGAATAAAAAAGGAAATTGTTCGTTATTTAATTGTCTACAACTTTGTATTACATCACTTTTCCATTTTTCGCCAAAAATTGCAAGTAAAAAGCAAAAAACTACATAAAGTACTTGTTTTTTTTTCATTTATCATTCGATATATCGAAAACTATCGATCGTACACGAAAATTTTGTAAGAAAAAGTTGTAGAGCGTTAAAAAATCTTTAAAATGAGCCCTCAGTGTACTTTCTAGATTCATTAGGAGCCGAGTTATCGAATAAAAACCATTTTTTCACGTTTTGGACCACAGCAAAAGAAGTAAGCGGAGATAGAGGTCTAAAACTTAGAGTTAAGCTTTTCTTGACCCCCCCCCCAACACCCTCGAAAAGAAAAATTGCTGTTCCAATTATTCATTTTTTCATCGGTTTTTTCGTACATAATGACTGGACTAATATCATTTTTTTTTAAATGCATTGTTTATGAGATATTTAGATTTTCCAGACTTTTAATACACCCTAGATAGAAACTATATCATCTGATAGAAAACACTTTCTAATTTATATTTATGTTCCTAAAGTTTTATTTTTAGCTTTTTAAAAAAAAGTATGGTCCAAAGATGAAAAAATATAGTGGTTTCAATGACCTTTACCTCTACTCTAGCTTTGATAATTTTTTATTTTAATTCCTAAAAAAGGAGTAATTTTTTATTTTAATTCCCAAAAAGTAATCTTAAAACAAAATCTCTAAATTAGAATACTCCTTTAAATTTTTTCTAGATGATAAAAGCTTCACGGACAGCATCTCCCGATTGATGACAGTGCATGCATCGTTATGTGACATAGTGATGCTCATAAATGCTGCTTATGGTGTTGTTGCGCTTATGATTACAATCACCTGCCTAATACATTTAATCATTACACCGTATTTTTTAATAATGGAGGCTGATGGAAGACGTGAACCACTGTTCCTTGCGGTACAAGGGTTATGGTGCATCTTTCATATCTGGAGATTACTCATGATTGTGCAGCCTACATACGCTACTACAACACAGGTCGATTCACAATTTATATAAATAAATAAATCTATTAAAGTTATAAATTATTACACTATATATACATAATTTATTATACAAAAATACTACAGATAAAAACGAAATTTCAAAGATTTGGAGATTAAAAGTCGACACATAATTCTAATTTTCTAAAAACATTTTAGTAATTATGCAGTATAAGGGACTATCCTCCAATCACCTTAAACTTAACATATGTTGACTCATAATCCTGAATAACCTTTAACTTTGAGCCGTCGCTCGTTGTTTGTTAAAAAGTTATTAACAAAAAAAGTTCATCAATAAGATCTAACTTTTGGACACGACTGCGCTCTGATAAAACAAATTCCCTGCTTTAACAGCGCAAAATGTTTTCTTATATAATTTTTATGTCTTTAGAGCAGAAAATTTGTATTTTTTGAACAAAGAATTTTTTATTTTTTAAAGAGTATAGTTTTAAAGCAAAGAATTTGTGTTTATAAAGCAGAAAATATTTTGTTATGTATAATGTACATTTTTTCCAGTCTTTTTATATGAATAGAAGTTTAAATTTAACACTTCGCAAAATAAATGCTGTAACTGTAAACACGACTACGTCGTAGTAGCTCAAATTTCTATAACGATCAAAATATATGTTACAAACGTATTTATAGTTACAGCGTTCATTTTCGTGAAATGTTAGATTTAAATTTCTATCCATATAAAAAGACTATGGAAAAGGTATAAATTATATATAATAAAATATTTTCTACTTTATGAACACAAATTTGTTGCTTTAAAACCACATTTTTTTCCCTATAAAACAGAAATTCTATGCGCTTTAAAAAATAAAAAATTCTCCCCTCTAAAGACAAAAATTATACAGGTATGTAAATATGAAACCGGATTTTTTTTATAGAAAATACATGTTTATTGTATGAAAATGATAAAAAATGTTTTATTCGAAGTATTGCCCATCGCTAGCTATACATTTTTCCCACCTGTCTGACAATTTGTGGATGCCACGGCAAAAAAATTGTTGCTCTTTTGAGCCAAACCAGTCATCTAGCCATTTTCGTACATTTTCGTAAGAAGTGAAGCGCTGCTGAGCAAGTGCGTGTCCCATCGATGCAAATAAGTAGTAATCGGACGGAGCCAAGTCTGATGAGTAAGCCACATGCGAAAATATTTCTCAATCAAACGCCTTAATCGTTTCCTTGACCAGTTTTGCTGTGTGTGATGGTGCATTATCATGAATAAGCAAAATCACTCTGTGTTGCCTTTTTTAATATTCCGGTCGTTTTTCACGCAAAGCTTGACTCAAATTGATCATTTGTGTCGGTAGCGTTCAGTATTAACGGTTTTGCCAGGTTTTAGCAGCTCATAATAGATCACACCTTTCTGATCCCACCAAACACAGAGCATTGTCTTCCGTCCATAGCGATGTGGCCTTGCAGTCGATGTCAATGGTACGCCTGGAGTTACCCATGATTTTTTACGCTCAGGATTCTCAAAATATATCCACTTTTCATCAGTCACATTTCGATGGAGAAATGACTTTCTTTTGTACCTGGTGAGCAGCATTTCGCAAGTGGATTTTCGGTTTTCCTGCTATCTTTCATTCAGTTCATGTGGAACCCGTTTTCCCAACTTCTGGATCTTTCCCATGGATTTCAAACGTATGGAGACAGCTTCTCGTGTCACATTCAATTGATCCGCGAGTTGGTGTTGAGTTTGAGCGTCAACCTCATCCAACAATGCTTCCAATTCGCTGTCTTCAAACTTTTTCGGTGGTTTTCCACGTTCTTCGTTTCTCACGTCGAAATCGCCACTTTTGAATTTTTTAAACCACTCAAAGCACTGTGATTTACCAAGAGCATGCTCACCGTAAGCTTTGACAAGCATTCGATGCGATTCTTCAGCAGTTTTCTTCAAATGGTAACAGAAAATCAATACTGTCCGCAAATCGTAGTTTCCAGGCACAAAATTCGACATGTTCAACGCTATTACAAATTATACTGTTGTATGAAACTTGTATTGTTGTGAGTTGAAAATCTTTGTCAGAACAAGGAAATGGCGTCAATGACGCGGTCTGACAGCAACTACATTGACAGCTATGGCCATCTATTGGTAACTTCCGGTTTCATATTTACATAGCTGGTATAAGAAATTATATAAGAAAACATTTTATGCTGTTAAAGCAGGGAATTTGTTTCATCGGAGCGCAATCGTGTACAAAAGTTTTATTGATGAACTTTTTTTGTTAATATTCTTATTAACTAAATAATATTTTTTTGTTAAAATTCTTTTAACGATCAACGAGGGACAGTTAATTTTGAAGGTCACTCGGAGTTATGATCTTGACAACATATGTCAAGATCAAGGTCACTGGAGGATAGTTCCTTATACTGTATAATTATTAAAATTTTTAATATTTTATAAACAAAATTAATAACGGCTACTGACATTTCCAATAAATAGATGATAAAAATGAACATATAATAAAGAGACAAGCAAAAAAATTTTAATATAATAAGTTTGAAAAAATTAATTCATTATTAATACTTAGATTTAGCTCGTTTTTTGTAATGCAGAGTATAAAGAAAAAACAGTCTAAACTCCTGACTAGAATCGCCGAGCTCCTTTGCTGTGGTGCGACTTAATCTGGGTAATCTCGATCACCGACCATTCAATCTATCTAGACTACTCTTTGGGTCGAGGCATCTCTTCGCCTGATTCCTTGCTATGGGATCGGGCCACCTTAACGGTGATTTGCTTGATCCCATAGCAGATTCTGAAGTCTCTTTTCTTCAATCTAATAAGGTTGAACTCCAAAATGCCGAAAACAAAGTTCCTCCCATCAAGAGGCGCCCACATTGTCGGCAAAAACGCGTCAGCTCAGGGCGCTGATACCCGAATTCTGCCTCTCCAGCAACGCCAGGACAGCAGCCGCAAGCCTCGGAGGTCCCAAAACCCATACCACTAGCCTGTGCCGTCTTTGGAGCTCCTCCAGGCCCATCACCCTGAGCACCCTCCCAAGGCACAATGCCCCCTATGCGGCTTTTCAGCTACCCGAGGAACGCCGCGTTTTCACCTTTAATTATGACTGCCCCGTTTTTTGGATAGCCATCTCCATGAATCTGATCAGGGGATCTGACCCGCTTGGATCTATTTCCGCCAGTACCGCTCTCTGAAAAAGAATCAACTGCTCCGAAGTGATTCCCCTTTCGGGGTATCCCTCCGAAACTACCGCCCTCGTCAACGGATCCGCTATTGTTGCGAAGGTCCCAGTTGCCTGAGTCCTAGGCTAAAAAGCCTAAAAGTAAAAAATAAAAATTCGGTAAAAAATAAAAATTTTTTTTACCGAAGGGGAGTTGGGTCAGAGTCCGGCGTTTTTTACCGGTAACCCCTCCACCGGCGTCATGGAAACCACCGAGAGCATAGAGCCTGCCCTTCGAGAATCTTCTCCCTGTCCCTCTTGGCCCTCCTTTCTTTTTGTACTCCGCAGCAGTTCCTCTTAAAAGGATCCTCAGCGTCGGCCACTTTCATCGTCTCGTTGCTTTCTGAGTCTGTATGGGCTGTTTCAAAACGGGAGTCATGCCTTCTTCTGCAAGAAAAGAAGATAGCCTCACGTCCCTAGTCCGTACAGGCCCATTCGTGCAGCGCAATCGCTGCCACTTCCACCGAGTGCCCACTAGGACACTCGATTACTGTGTCGTTCATTTTTAGGTCTTTGAATTGATCCATTCTGCTTTCACAAGAAGCTAGGGACGAACTAGGTCCGCTCACGCAGAGCCCCGCATGCATGAGTATATATATATAAGGTTAGATACTCTAGGGTTTCGCCTAGTTCTCCAGAGACATCGTTAACGGTACTGCACTCCCAGTACCATGTAGCCCTCACCACGATACTTCCCAGCTTGGCTTAGAGGTTGGTCCACGGCGACGGCTTTCTTGATCCCAGACAGGATTTTACACCTGGGAAACCAGTTATCATCGCCACTATCCGAAGGACCTCCGGCCTCATACAGGGTTTTAAACCTGAAGGACCGGGTCCCTTCGAACATCCTCTGATCCACCACCTAGAGACGCGTCCGATGGGTAACTCATCGCACAAAGAGCAGACTATATACAATATTAATTAATCCGTTTTATTTTCAATATTTTTAGGATTTTCTAAATAAATCTGCCATTTGCCTAAATGTATTTTTTTTAAAGCTTAGAAGCTTTAGTAATATTCTTTGCAATATTTACTTAAAATATGATTAGATGTGTTTTCAGCAAATACAGTTTGCTTTTGCAGCTATTCTATAAGCTCATATATAGTTTATACAATTATGTTCAGGGAAAGAAAACAGCAGTTTTGGTCAGCCAATTACTGTCAATGAGTCCCGACAAAGAAAACAGAAAGCAATTAGAGATGTTTTCACTTCAGTTGCTACATCGTCCGTTAGAATTCTCAGCATGTGGACTTTTCACTCTAGATCGAACTCTTATAACATCAGTAAGAAATAACTATTCTTCTACATACTAATTTTGAGATAAAAATGATTAAAGATATAATTATTTTAGATTGCTGGTGCCGTCACGACGTATCTTGTGATACTTATACAGTTCCAAAAAGAAGACGATACGAAAGGCAGTTTTGACAACATCTTGAAGAACGCCACGCAGATGTTAAAAAGAAGCTATAACGCTTCATAATTTTATGACAGGAAGATAAGTAATATCAAATCTCATAGAACCGTGAGAATTTATACCAATAAAAACCAGTGAGAACGTGCCGTAACGATCAAGCTTTCTCTCGGATGCTTCTATATAATCACATGTGAATTTATATACTACGTAGATTTTTAATTGTGCGCCGAATTTTTCTCAGACTTGAAACACAACATTATTAAACTACCGCAGTAATATCACGAGTTAAATTGACTAACAATTTTGCAGACTTTAAATTTGTAACGATGCTCCCTAAATGGCATCGTCACTGTAGTACGATTGCATGACGGATAAGCGTATATGTCGAAGATAATTCAGCAGCCGCCATCAAACCGCCAGTCTCCTCGAAAAATTCCAGCCGCCACCAAGGACCGCCGATCCGAGATCTTCTCCCACGAGAAGCCGATTGGCGGAAAATATCGAGACCGACTGGAACAATACGAGCGAGACTGGCAGCCTAGTATAAAATATCGCGTCGACAAGACATGTGAGCCATTTTTCCGATTCTCCAACTCCTAGCAAACCGATTACCAGCTACCAGCTCCTAGAAAACGATCCAGTGCTTCGAAGCCGTTTTCAAGACACTCTCGTTCCGACGAACCTAGGGGGTAGGGCGTACTCTGCCTCTGCCGGGCGTTCTCGGCCGCCGGACAACCGCTGTAACTGCTTCCACAATCTTCCGCTTATTCTTTTCCATATTCCGTATTTTCCTTCCCAATAATCAGCATTCGAAGGGGGGTAGGGCGCTCTCTGCCTCTATCGGGTGTTCTCGGCCGCTGATTATCGGATCCATTTCCTTTTAGCTCGACCATCTTCGAATTACGCGTCGCGTCGCGAGTTTCCATTTGCTGGCGTATACCCGCGTTCCACCGCGTTGCTAATCGCCGCCCCGCAAGGCCCGCGTCGAAAATTCTCACGAATCAGCGAGAAGACGAAAAACTCACGACATCAGCAGGACCGCCTAACCGTACACGCGATCCATAATACCCACCGCCGAATGCCGATCTCGCTCAACCCGGCAACTGCTGACACCTCGTGACTCAATTGTAAATATTTCGCGAATTTAAAAATAAGCACCGCTATACGTATAATTGTCGGCGTCCGCCGCATTATATTTCGTTCCGTACTCTATCGTTTCGTTGTATCTCGTTATTGTATTGTCTTTTCTGTATATATTCTTTATTCTATTTCTGTAATAAATCGTGTTCGTTGTGTTCAACTTTATTTCATTTTATTTGTAGCGTTGTGCGTATGAGTCGTGATCGTGGCTCCAGGAAGGCCGTCACATCCACCCGCTACTGGTGGGTGTAACGACTACGTAACCGATCGGCCGTCGCTGTCGGTCTCTATCGGTGCGGTGCAGAGATCGCAAGTGAGAGGAGTTCAACTTAAAGCTTCGAAGACATATTATGTACAAGATTTATTGTGCTATGTATAGGTATCTACAATGGTAGTGTGTTGTTGGCTCGGTATTTCGGTTTCTCTAGAAGAGGCTCCGCTCGCGGTAGACGAGCGGCGGCTTCGCCGGCGTTCTCTTCTCGAAGCTCCGCTCGCGGTAGGCGAGCAGGGATTTTGTCCGCGTGCTCTTCTCCGGACCCCAGTAATTGGCGTTCTCGTCAACGAGGGGCTTGAGGAGACGATCGCTTGGCCGAGGGGCCACGGGTTCCTCCTGCGGTATCTCCCACTCGGAGCCGGACGACTGTGTCTACTGGATCGTCTTTGGAGGCGCCTGGTGATACCGAGGGGACGTGTACCTACTGATCCGGATGTCCCACGGATGGATTCAATAGCGCGGTGGTCTGGTCCTACTCGGCGGCGGTATCTCAAAGGCGTGGAGCTTCCAACCTGCGTCCGTGTATGACAACCCCGGTGGAGACGGTGACCTCGGCGGAAGTGGCTGCACCGTCGGCGACCTTGGCGGAAACTGCGGCGTTGAGCTCTCGTATCGTAGATGTGGCCGCCTCGGCTGCCGTAGGAGCGGCCCTAGCTTCTCCACTGGCCTGATCCTTGGCAACCGAGCATGCAGCCGGTGACGGCGCTGAAGCTGCTGGCGGAGGCGCTGAATTAGCAGTGATCCTTGGTGTGCTGGCTGCCGCAGCTGCGGGTGCTGCGGAGGCTGCTGCTGCTGTGACCAGTGGCGCTGCATGGCCCGCTGCTCGATGCTCGTTCCAGCGCTCCTGATATACGGGCATCGGATCGATTCTCCGCGCGAGATTTTTATCGCGGCGCGAACCCCCTGGTGGGCGTGCCGCGGTACTCGCGCAGCGCGAGAAGAGCGCTAGCGAGAAAGTGGCTCTCACCGAGCGCTTTCGAGAAAGTAGCTGCTCGATGGGTTGCCTTTCCGCAGGGATGGTGTGCGGTTCATAAGAGCCGCCACATATTTTATTATATTCTTCTACTCTTTGTATCACCGATCCGACGCGAATACTCCTCCTGCCGAACCTTTTTGTGCGACACGCATTTGTATTATACCGACGAGCTAGATCGCGCATAAAATCAGGTTGTTACAAATTATTAATCAATTTTACTCGTGATATTATTGCAGTAGTTTAGTAGAATTACGTTTCAAGTCTGAAAAATTCGGCGTGCAATTAACAATTTACATACGTGTAGAATATAAATTCGCACGCAATTATATAGAAACATCCAAGATTCAGCTTGATCGTTACAACATGTTCTGATAAGATAGTGTTTCCTAAATTGAAATAAACAGTTCCTTTGTTATTCTTACTCCTTTTTATTTTTTATTTTATAATAAATCTTCCTGAAACTTGGTATGTGTCTTGTACATATATTTGCAAAATATTCATTATGGAAAAGCAGATTTCATATCTGAAAATTAAAACAATAAAAAGAGGATGTAAAAGTATACTATATATATTATATTAAAATACAAGGTGTGTACAAAAAATTTGTACACTCGGTTCACCAAAAATCCATTAAATTATTCTGGAATGGGGATGTGGTACCCTCGAACTACTCTCCTTCTTACAGAATGCACTTTGTCCAATGCTTCTTCTATTCCTGAAAGCAGTGCTCCATCTTTCTTTGGCCCTTTTTATATCGTTAAATTAATTGGTATGCGTATCAAGTTGCAGGAATAAACATTTGATACGTTCCTGTTTACATCCATTTGTCTAAAAACAGGTTAAATTAGGTTTTTGATCCGGATATAGTCTCAACTTAACAATGAAAGAAGTTGCAATTACATCATTTATACCGTTATTCCAAATGTTAAATATGCAGCAAGAAGTTAAAAGAAATCGTTTCAAAAGTACGATAAAACGTAGAATGAAAATAAGATTGAGAAAATTCCTTCGACAAAAAAATGAATTACTTGTACAATGGAATCAAATAACTGATCCGAAATCAGCGATCCTCATTTTAGATGGTATTTAATACCGAAGAATATGGACTAAGGTGAGAAGCAACGATTTTTAGCAAAGAATCGTAGGAGAGCATTTTACTCTGTCAGAATGGCTATCTGCTTTTCGTATGTCGAAAGAAACTTTTACAGCGCTTTATGACATTCTTTGAAATGAATTGAAACCCAAGCCACATTTTCTAATATCTAGACAGCCTTTATCTGTCGAAAAACAAATCGCGATATCTGTGTACAAATTAGCAAGTTGTGCCGAGTACAGAGTCGTTGGTAACGTGATAGGTGTTCACAAATCGACAGCTAAAAGATGCTTATTTAGAGTTACTAGGGCCATTAACAAAGTTATTGTAAAAAAAAATATTTATATATTTATGCTTTTTCTGAAGATGAAAATGAATTTATATCGCTCCAATTTAAAGAAAAAACCTTTATTCCACAATTGATTGGATGTATTGATGGAACACACATTCCAATTATTGCACCGTATGAAGGTTATCGAGATTTTGTAAACAGGAAAGGATGGCCGTCATATAATGTAATGGCTGTCGTTGATCATAATGGGAGGTAAGCTTGCAAGATTCAAAAGAGTTCAAAACACATCAAAATTAAAAATTTTTTAATTCTCATTATGATCAACAACAGCTCTTAGTTTCAGAAACGTTGTGATGAAACATCCGGGAAGTGTGCACAATGCTGCTGTATTGAAGGATAGTAGTATATATAAGAATGCACAGACTATTATTCCTCAGGTAAACTTAAAATTTTTTGTTTAATGTAGGTTTGCTTGTATTTTTTTATGTGTATATTATTAAAATAATATTTTTTGAATTTCAAATATCTAAAAACATTGATGGTATGGATGTACCATACATGATTGTAGGTGATACAGCATATCCAATGTTATCATAGCTCATCAAAGGTTATTCAGGATCGTTAACAGCAGAAGAAGAATCTTTTAACGCATATTTGAATTCTGCAAGAGTTAAGGTAGAAATGGCATTCGATTGGTTAACCAGATGGAAAATCAAATAAAATTAAAGTTGAAGGACTCTTTATAGGAAAATAATAATTAAAACAAGGTAAAGGACAATGAGAGTCAATTCGTAAGTAAACAACAAAGCGATTATAACATTAAATCTATAATATGAATTTTTAAAAGAAAAATAATACAATGAAATACTTAGCCGCAAAAATTAGAATATCCGTCAATATATAACAATATACAAAATTGCTCGATATAAAATTTCGTTACAAGTTTCGACTCTTGGTTTGAGTCCTCTTCAGACGTACAATAAAAATTCTTCATTTCAGCATTGAGATGCAACCCTTACTGACTCCTCGATTACTTTCTTCGTTACGAAACATTGACAATTTAGGATGACAAAATCGTATATTGAAACAATGTATCTGTAATTTAGTATGAGAGAAAAAAAAATCAAAAGATGTGAAAATAATAAAATTAAAAAAAATTAAAGAATATATTGTTTAACTCACCAACGAAAACGAATTGTCAGTTTACAATATAAGTAAAACGAAACAAAAAAAAGTCATAGAGTAAAATGAATATAAAAATAATATAAAACATTTTCTCAAAACTTATTGCAATAAAAATGTAGTATGACACAAATGCGAGGATTAAGTGTACTGACACGTTTAACTATCTTGCGTATACTGTGATGTAACAACAAAACTAAGCAGTGTGTCAGTGTGTCGATTATCGATAACAAAAGATCAAACCTTATTTATAATGGGAATGTAAGAATCATGAAGACCTTCAGTGTCCGTATGTAAGTTAAGACTATTTTTCTGCTTTTTAATGTTAAGCATCTCAGAAATTATTCACTTTCTGTAATTAGGTTCTTCATCTAAAATTTTAACGTTTTCCCATTGAAAGTCATGATCATATTGCAATCTGTGATCCGTAATAACCGAACGGTTAGACGTATTATGTCTAATATGGCTACGGTGTTCATTAATTCTGGTCTTCAGCTGCCTTCCAGTCTGTCCTACATAAGACGCATCACAATCATTACATTGGATTCTATACACCACATTACTCTTGGATGTGTGTGACAGACTATTCTTCTGCACCTTAATGTATTTACCCATCTTATTTGGACTATGGAAAGAAACTTTAATTTCGTCATTGTTAAAACGTTTGAATTTTTTAGTATGAAAAGGTATAAAAGGTACCGTAAGCCAAGAAACAGTTTTTTTATCCTCCAATTCATTAGACTTTTCAACATGAAACTGTTAAAGGCTTTTAATCTAAACCATTTTCATAACATTCATTTCAATCATTTATTCTACCCATCAAAATTCTTTTGAGAGCAGGCCGCCATGTTCTTTTTCCGAGTCATTAACAGATTGGTACTCTGGAATTACAAGCAATTATTTTTCATTGTACGGGCTAGTATAACGACTTTTATATTTTGTGCACTAAGCATAACATATCGCAGTTATTTTCTAGAAAATTGTAATCTGCAAATTGTAATGCTTTACTTATTATATATATGTATGTATGTTCATTTTGATTATTAAATACAGAAATTCCAATTTGTCACCTCCAGTTTCACATGTAAATTGGAGACGTGGATGGAATGCATTGAAAACCAGAAGTAATGTGTCAATTTTTTCAGAATCAACCATAGTACAAATATCGTCTACATACCTGAAATAAAAGAGAGTGTCAATATTACATGACGACAGAGACAAAGACTCCAATCTACTCATCACAAGATCAGCGATAATGGGAGATAAGGGAGAGCCCATGGGAGTGCCAAAAATGTATATTGTTATATATTGACGGATATTCTAATTTTTGCGGCTAAGTATTTCATTGTATTATTTTTCTTTTAAAAATTCATATTATAGATTTAATGTTATAATCGCTTTGTTGTTTACTTACGAATTGACTCTCATTGTCAGATGGAGAATCTCATGCAAAAAAATGGATTGTGATTATACATTTGCTCCACAAATCATTCTTGCTTGCTGTACGTTGCATAATTTTGTACAAAGTCAGAAAGAACAATTTTTCACTGAATGGTTACAAGAAGTACTCGACAGTGATCGGTTATTTCCTCAACCAACAGATATACAAAATCGTAACAGAGATTGTGTGCCTGATGTAGCAGTAAGAGATCATTTAAAACAGTATTTGGCAACCAAATATCCTCTAAAAAAACTCTTATACGATAGTGGAAAAAATAAAGATTATTATTATTTTTATGCTTATTGAATTAAATGACATGATCGAAGAAGAATTACCACCTATAACGGTCAAAGCTGGATCAAAGTGCTTATTATAATTATGCATGAATTTTTTTTAATACATATGTAGTCCCCCCGTAATTGCTCGCTGATAACATTCAGACATAACGCATAAATACTACAGTAGTATTATAATATCACCGATTTTTACATGATTAATTACAACTAAATATGAAGATGATAATTTAAAATTCCGTAAATGACATAATTTTTATCGGATTAAATATAATGTTAAAATAATGATTCAAGGAACATATGGTAGAAGCCAACGCAAGATATCAGTGCAAAAGACTAATTTTTACGATGTGAAATATAAATATTTATATGGCGTTATATGTAAGATTATAAATAAATATTTTATAATTTGATATCTCTTGCGTTGGCTTTTATGCTCTTCAAATAATTATAATTTTTTTCTTTTACGTTCTTTATTATATTTTTAATTATATTCTTTGGCGTACAATATTATTGCACATGTATACTGCAATGCACCGCTTGTTTTACAATAAAATATTAAATTTATCATATACTTAATAGAACTAATTCTTTTAATAATTATCGTAATTAATAAAATTTCAAAATAAATGAAAAAAATAAATGATTTATTTTGTACTGTATCTTGTGTAACTAATAAAATAAACATTATAAGCAACTTTTTAAACAAATAAATTTTTTAACTGTTTAAACAAAACGTTTTTTAAACATTTGTATTTTATGTAGGAACACAGTACTGTAACTTCTCCAATTATCACACACACAGTTGTAACGATGCCCCCCGAAAGATCGTCTCCGGCAAAAACACCCAGCCGGATGCCGCTGCATCAGCCTGCGATGCGGCGATGAGGGCGCGGTGCGCCCGAATATATTTTTAATTCAAACTAAGCATAATTCACAGGTACAGCAGCGGCCGTTATAACCGCCAGTCTCGTCGGGAGATTTCGGCCACTATCGGGGACCGCCGATCGCAAATCTTCTCCCACGAGAAGCCGATCGGCGGAGAATATCGAGGGTGGCCGGAACTTTGCGAGCGGGGCTGGCGGCTTAAGTATAAAATACCGCTCCTACGACGTTTCGTCGCCTGTTTCTTACGTTCCATGAAACAATCCGTACCGTCTCCTAGAACACGCTCCGCTGCCTAGAAGTAGGATAGGTAGGTATGTTCCAACTCACACAGACGTGATTGAGAACCGGCCACGGCTTGGATAGCCAATGGCGTTGCTCGTTTTTGTTTTGTGTGCGTGCGAGTTTGCATGTGTGCGTGTGAAGGTAAAGCGCGGGAAATCGACGACGAAGGTCGCCAGGGGCGTCGACTTGGGATTCGACCGTGTGTGGAGGTAGGAGTTGGCGTGGGCAAACTGCCACAGAAGAAAAGGTCCTAATAAATAAATTTATTTTGCCATATTTACTATTCTTTTTTACAGCGCTTACTTTTATTTAAATATATTTAAATTTATTTTCTTTTTTCTTACGTTCATGTGTGTATATATATATATGTAAAATAGCAAATACACTATTTTGATAGCCCTTTCAAATTTGCCGCGTAACGCACCGATGGGAAAGAGAGCGTAGAAGATAAGGAGGAAGGACACGTGCGGAGAAAAAGAAAATTCCAAGCTACGGAATAGAATTAATTCGTTCGGTGATAGACAATAATTTGTGCGTTCGTTACTAAAAGGGAAGCAAGGGAGGAAGTAGAAAATGAGCTTTAAATGTCGTTTCTCATATTTCAGGTGAGAAGGGTGTAATTAGCGTAATATAGTATTAAGATTGTAATGTAACGATTTCAATCAAGTATAACCTCATATTTCAGTGAAACACAGTGAAGCTTATTTTCCCCACGAATAAACATAACCTGTATCCAGAAAACACATTATAAAACGACATTTTGCATAACTACAATGAAGAAGCTACGATTTGAATTTGTGGTGAAATCAGAAACAGATCCAAAAACGAACGTGTTAGCTATAACCTCAATTGAGACACCACAGGGCGAAATATACAAGATTCCAGTAGAATACCAAAATATAAGACATCATGAAAAACTGACAACAACGGAAACGTTTAAAAGAATAAAAACCACGCTAAAACTGAGGCACCAATCTAGGAGAGTATGGATTACATTAAACGAAGAACTACGAGATACGTACTTAGATGAGGACGAAAATTTAAAATATGAACAATACTACTTAGAAGAAATTACAAACGAACCAACTTCTACCAGCACCACAGAAGATACATTGAAAAGATTTTTGGAAGAGAGCAACGTAAAGAAAGCGATAGAAAAATTTGTAATTGAAAAATTTACAGGTAAAAATGTGAATGGAGTTCAGTGGTTAGAGACATTTGAAAAAGAATGCAATCGTTTGAAGATACAGAAAGATGAAGAAAAAATTGAAATTCTTAGATTATTTTTAGAGAGCTCTTGCTTAGACTGGTATAGTTCTATGTTAATAAAACACTCCATTACATCGGAATGGGAGATTTGGAAAAACAATTTTCATGAAACATATGCAGATAAAGGATGGTCTTCGATTAAATATGCCATATCATACAAATATATAAGCGGTTCTTTATTAGATTATGCTCTGAAAAAAGAAAAACTCTTATTAGAGGTAAATAAGGCAATAGATACATGTACATTAATAGACCTTATGGCAGTAGGATTACCAGAATTTATAATAAACAGAATTGATAGACAAAAGCTGAGAGAAACCGAAGATTTGTTCAGAGAATTACGCAGTCTAGAGCACATGATAAAAAAGAAAAACACAGAAAATAAAAATTTTAATAAATACATAAAAGACGATTCAGAGAAAAAGCAACAAAAAAGACCTTGCAAAATTTGCGAAAAAAAAGGTAAAATGAATAGATTCCACCCAGAATCTGCATGCTGGTTTAAAGCAAATGAAAACGATAACAAAGAAAAAAACCAAATAAAATTTGTAAATAATACAGAATTAGAATCGGAACTAGTTACCTTGGAACAAAAAAACTTGTAATCCCACCATTAATCAAAATAAAATTGCAACTACAAGACACTATAGAAGTAATGGGAATATATGACTCAGGGTCGAATGTCTCTCTAATAAACTCAAAAATATTAAAACTAAAGGAAAAAAAACCAGAAAAGGTGCAAAGCGCAAATTTATTAACGATTAATGGTGTGAAAAAAACTAAAGGAATGGTAACAATGAAAATAAAAATCTTCGATATTGAAAAAACTGTAGATATTTTCGTAATTGATAAAGACACTTTTCAATATGACTTCCTAATTGGATTAGATTTGATCAAAAGTTTTCAACTAATCCAAGACGAAAACTTAGAGATAAAACAAAAAAAATATAAGAAGATTATGCAAAGAGATTCAAAAGAAGATAATAAAGTTTCCGATAAATACTTAATAAATTTTAATGAACACATTATTACAGAAAATTTTAATATTTCAGTAGATCACTTAGACTACGAAAAAAGAACGGAAATAAACAGACTAATAAATGAGTATAGTTCAAATTTTGCCAAAGATAAATACGATGTGGGTACAGTAAAAGATTACGAAGCTAGGATCGACTTACAAATAGACAAATATTGCTGTAAAAGGCCGTACAAATGCAGTGCGGAAAACAGAAAGGAGATAGAAACACAAGTCGCAAGATTGCTGCAGGAAAAATTAATAGAGGAGTCATACAGCCCCTTCGCAGCCCCAGTAACTTTAGCACTTAAAAGAGAAGAAAATAAGAAAACAAGATTATGCTGCGATTTCAGAGAATTGAACAAAATCGTGATACCACAATCACAACCTTTTCCGGTAATAGAAGATTTAGTGACGAAGGCTAGAAATTGTAAAACCTTTTCGATACTAGACATTAATTCAGCGTTTTGGTCAATCCCGTTACGAATAAAAGATAGGAGAAAAACGGCATTTGTCACACAAGAGGGACACTATCAATGGACATGCCTACCGTTTGGATTAAAAACCTCACCAGCAATATTTCAAAGGATATTAAGCAATATAATAAGGAAACATAAACTTACAAACTTCACAGTAAATTATATAGATGACATACTAGTATTTTCGAGAACGTTTGCAGAACACATAGACCACTTAACACAATTGTTGGAAGCAATACAGAAAGAAGGATTTAGATTAAAATTTTCTAAGTGTAAATTTGCAAAAAGTTCAGTGAAATATCTAGGGCATATAATAAGTAACAACTCAATAAGACCAATAAAGGATAATCTGATCTCGATAAAAAACTTTCCGACCCCAAAAACTCAGAAACAGATCAGACAGTTTTTAGGAAAAGTAAATTTCTACAATAAATACATACCAAATCAAACTATAATATTAGATCCATTACATAACCTTTTGAGAAAAGGACAACAATTTATTTGGACCACAGAATGCCAAAATGCCCTCGACAAAATAAAACAACTACTGTGTTCCCAACCAATACTAGAAATATACGATCCAGATCTTCCAATCTACATTTACACAGATGCGAGTTTACAAGGCATAGGAGCAGTAATGAAACAAAAACAACCTAATAATCAAGAAAAACCAGTAGCCTATTTCTCAAAAAAATTAAATAGCAGCCAAAAGAAGAAAAAAGCTATATATTTAGAATGTCTTGCAATAAAAGAAGCAATACAATATTGGCAATTTTGGCTCATAGGGAAGTCATTTATAGTTTTCTCAGATCATAAACCTTTGGAAAATTTAAACATAAGATCAAGAACGGACGAAGATCTAGGAGACTTGACGTATTACTTGTCGCAATACGATTTCACAGTTAAGTATGCTCCAGGGAAAAATAACTTAGAGGCTGATTGTTTAAGTAGAAACCCGGTCTTAGAGGCTGATGAAAACAAAGACGAAATATTAAAACTAGTGAACTTAATACAATTAAAGGATATCATCGCTGATCAAGAGAAAAACGAAGAACTACAACACAAAAAAGATAGAATGATACTGAAGAACAGAATATACTACAGAAAAATCAAAACTAAAGAAAAAATTATCTTAACAGAAAAATTCAGTAAGGAATTTATAAAGAAAATACATGAAGAATATTGTCACATAGGGATAATACAAATGAAGAATAAAATTACACCGTATTACATAGCAGCAAATATGACACAAAACATCAAACAAATTTGTAAAAATTGTGAAATATGCATCAAAAACAAAGCAAGAGGACAAACGAAATACGGATTGATGTCACAATTGGGCCCTGCGAAAGAACCATTCGAAATAATGTCGGTGGACACGATTGGAGGATTCGGTGGCTCCAGATCGACAAAAAAATACCTACATCTATTAGTGGATCATTTCACAAGATATGCATACATTTTAACATCAAAAACACAAACGGCGAAGGATTTCATAAAACTAATCAAAAGGGTAACAGAAAACAATAAGATTGGCATGATATTATCAGATCAGTACCCGGGTATAAATTCTAAAGAATTCAAAACATTACTAGAAGAAGAGGATATACCGATAGTATTTACTGCAACGAACTCGCCATTTTCTAATGGACTTAACGAAAGATTAAACCAAACTTTAGTCAATAAAATCCGGTGCACAATTAACAAAGAAAAAAGGAAACAAGCATGGACGACGATAGCACAAAAATGTACACAAAAATATAATGAAACGGAACACACAATAACAGGATTCACACCAACTTATTTAATGGAAGGAAAAAACATACCAATGGTACCAAAAGAAATCCACCAAAAAACGAATAATAATTTAAGTCAAGATAGAAAAATTGCTTTAAAAAGAACCCTTAAATCACATAATTACAATAAAGCTTTGTACGATAAGAATAGAAAAATAAAGGAATTTAAGGTTGGAGAATTAGTATACGTAGAAAATGGAAATAGACTAAACAGAAAAAAATTAGATGAACTAAGAATCGGCCCCTTTGAGATAATAGAAAAATTATCAAATTCCATTTACAGAATAGATACAGGACACAAGAAAGCGGAATCAAATCTTTTTCATATTACGAAGCTCATTCCAATAACAGAAGACATCGATGATATGGAGGATAGGTTTTTCCGGAGGGGAGATGTAAAATAGCAAATACACTATTTTGATAGCCCTTTCAAATTTGCCGCGTAACGCACCGATGGGAGAGAGAGCGTAGAAGATAAGGAGGAAGGACACGTGCGGAGAAAAAGAAAATTCCAAGCTACGGAATAGAATTAATTCGTTCGGTGATAGACAATAATTTGTGCGTTCGTTACTAAAAGGGAAGCAAGGGAGGAAGTAGAAAATGAGCTTTAAATGTCGTTTCTCATATTTCAGGTGAGAAGGGTGTAATTAGCGTAATATAGTATTAAGATTGTAATGTAACGATTTCAATCAAGTATAACCTCATATTTCAGTGAAACACAGTGAAGCTTATTTTCCCCACGAATAAACATAACCTGTATCCAGAAAACACATTATATATATATATATACACACATGAACGTAATATATATATTACGTATATATATATATATATGTATACACATACACACACATATATGTATATACACCTTGACAATTCATGTTTTTTTTCTTACTTCTACACTTGCAACAGTTTTACTTATTCTCCGTTGAACACGCGAATGTAGAACTCCTGATTTTGTTCCTTTTTATGAATTCGTCCATTATAAATTCTAAATTCAGATTTTGGACTATATCTGAATGAATATGCAGAACCGTACTAAAACAGCCGTACTATTTAACAAAATAGGAAGCATTGTCGAACGTACATATGTTTTTAATCTCCTAAGAGCTGAAAACGACCTTTCAGCAGTACAGGACGTTGCCGGAATTGTAAGCAGGAGTTCTATTAGTTTTGTATATTCTGATACAATTTCTCTCACAGCTACATTTTCTTTCAAAAAGTTTACAACATCTTTTACATTTTGTATCTCTATTTTCCTTGACTCTACTATATTAAAAAACATCGTTTGATGTAATTTCAATATACTCCTGTCAAAATCACTTTTGTATATTGCAATAATGCGATCTATGTCACTTTGGTCTCGTCGAAGCGTTACATCTTCAATTAGGTTTAAAATATTCAGATTTTCCGATAAGAACCTCTCATGTAGCGATGCAACCACTTGATCGTACACTTCTAGATACGTTTTTTTATAATAACTTTTCGGCGTTAAAAATTCATGTGCACTTCCAGCACCCTCATTTTCCAACCGTCTTGGGATCTTGCGAATTCGTGGCACTTGAGGTTCATTTAATCCCAGACTTTTGGCATTTGTGGTCGCTTCTTTCCATATTTCTTCGAAACTTTCATCTCTACCTTCGGAAAAAACATCCATGATAGCTTGCACTTTATCATGTGCTTCACGAATATTTAGATCTGCTTTTTGTAGATGGCTATTCAAAATTTCGATTCTTTCGAAAATAGCTATCATGTAACATAAATGGAAGTAAAATTCAAAACTGTACAGGTTTTTCAAAAAGCCAACGGTCTTCGCATGGCAGCTACAGTTGAGAGTTGAATCATTTTGCAACTGTTCAAAGAAGCTCTGAGCAGCCTTATAATTTGACAGATTCTGCAGTGTTTTTAGCGATTTTACTCGTACACACCATCTAATTCATTAAAAACATAATAGAATATAAATGTATCTTTAATATATTTTTTTACATTAGTATTGACAATTTAACAATATGTCATGTTTGATAATATAATATTTAAAACGAGAAAAAATGTAATTAATATTCGTTTATACATGATTATTTATCCAATACAATGCAAATATTTATATATTGTGCACTATCCACTATATAATTATAAAATATTTATTATGTTTTACCTTGTAGGGCAAAATTGAGTCAACACAGGACAGTTTTCTGCTTGCAATTCTTTAAATTGTGCTAACCGTTTAGGGGAATCTCGAATAAAAGTAATCAACTCTTTAACAATGCCAATACAATTTTTAGCAGTAGGTATTCGCTCCATTCCGTCTTGTACTACCAGGTTTAAAGTATGGGCATTGCAGTGAACATATAGCGCTCGAGGTTCTAGTTCTTGGACACGAGCTTGCAATCCTGTAACTCGCCCACTGAAATTCGCTGCTCCATCGTAACACTGGCCTCTTAATTTGTAAATATCCAAATCATACCGTGTAAAAATATCCTTTACTATTTTAAATAATGCATCAGCTGTCGTACTATTTGTTTCAAAGAAGCCCATAAATATTTCTTCTACGGTTAAGTCCTCTAGCACGATTCTTATCGAGAAGGATATTTGTTCCAATCGTGAAATATCTGAAGTTTCATCCATAATGATTGCAAAAAAATTAGCTTTTTTAATTTTTGCGAGTTGTATTTTTATTACTTCGTTTGCCATTAAATGAAGTATTTCATTCACGCTATCATGATGGATCCATTTATACGTTTTTTGATTAAGCCATTTATTTAATATTGCGACATCTTCACTACGCAGTTGTAATAAACTTAATAAATTTGACGTCTCTTTAGTTTTTCCGCGAATAGCTAAACCTTGTCGCGCTAGATAGCTTATTGTAGAAACTATTTTTTGTTAAGCTACTCGAGCATCTGCCATTTCTTTTTGTTTTGCTGCTGATAAGTGGTAAACAACTGTTTGCTTCTTGATATTTGATAGCCCTGTTATAGCAGACAAATGAAATTCAGTCTTTTCGTGACTTTTAAAGCGTGCAACTGCGTTTTTCCAGCAATGAAAACCGTTTTTTACAAAAGCGTCTATTGTTCTTACGGCATGAGAATTTGAAGGGAGTGGTAACTGTAGACTTACAGCTTCAGTACATAAGGTACAAATTGCTTTTCGGTCTGTATTTAATTTTAGCCATGTAAACATAATTTTCCAATGTTTAAATGATTTAGGTACGTCGTTAGCTATAAAATAAACCGATATTTATTTATTTATATATTTATAGGCATATTAAAAATAATAATTTGTATGTTGTATGATTATAATATGTATATTTGCTATCGATCATAATAATTTCAATAACCACAGGTGCAAAAGAACATCACAATAAAATGTGTTAGTTTAGTTAGTTGTTAGTTTACCTCTCAAAATATTGCTAAATATTTAATAATTGTGTTTTTTAATTGCTTGGCACATCTTGACATATACACACACAAACGTAACAAATTAATTCACTTATTTTCAGTATTAATAAACAATTTAACTCTTTTAATTACATATTCTTTGTCACGATAATCTCATAACCTTGAAAGAATAAAATTATTGATTAACACTGAAAATACAAATAATTGATTAGTATTCAATTGCACTAATTACCGTAATCAACGACACAACGCTACACATCTGTACTCAGCTTGAGAATACTAGTCGGATGTGTAGCGTTGTATCGATGATTACAACAATTAGTGTAATTGAGTACAAATCGGTTTTCATATTTTCAGAGTTAATCAATAATTTTATTCTTTCAAGGTTATGAGGTTATCGTGACAACAAAGAATATGTAATTAAAAAGGTTAAATTATTTATTAATACTGAAAATGAGTGAATTAATCTGCTACGTTTGTGTGTGTGTGTGTGTGTGTGTGTATGTGTGTGTGTGTGTCAATATGCGTCAAGCAATTTTAAAGCAACCATAAATAATAAAGTGATCCTACCTTCATTAGGAACATTTTTTAAATGTCGGTCATCTCCTACAAATAAATGGAAATCTGCTTCGACGTATAATTTCCTACAGTTTTCTTCACTGTCATCAGAATTCAATTTCAAAATTTTATCAGAAGAACTAAATCCTACAGTCTCACTGATAACGTCTATAAATGCAATAATTATCATGATCAATTACAAGTAAACGCAAAAGAATACAAAATTAATTTATAGCATAAGAAAAAATATAACTAGCAATTTAAAATTTTATCAATTAATTTAAATATATTTTAAGAGTTTATCATACCTTGATTCAATTTTTTAGCACAATTGAAATAGAAACTGTTAAATTCTCCCTCATTCGTTTTTTGTTGAAAAGCTGAGTTTGTGTACGTATTGTCGTTGGAATTTTCAGGCTCAGCATTTATACACGTTGTAACAGGCACAGATCCCTAACAGCACAAGATATCCTCAGGATTATCCTGAATATATCCAAGAACATCCTGGACATTTTATGGACATACATATTTCCACAGGACGTCCTAAGGACATCATCTTCAGGACACACTTAGGACGTCCTTTGGACATCTTCAGAACAACGTTGGGATAGCCACAGGACGTCCTTGGGATAATCTTAGGACGTACTTGTGGAGCTTTTTTAGGACGTCCTGGGACAATCTCAGAACATCCTCAGAACGTCCTTTGGAAAAGATTTCGGTAAAAGTTTTTTATATACAGAAGTATACATGTAATTTCAATATTTCTTATAATATATACAGAGTGTGGAAAAAGTCGCGGACTCCTTAAATATCTTGAAAAGCATTTCTGAGATGTCAGTTAATATATCATTTTTAACCCTACAATTTCTGTATGAAATATTTTTCTCAGAAATGTTTACTTTTCAAAATATTTAAGGAGTCCGGGACTTTTTCCACACTCTGTATATATATTATAGGATATATTGAAATTACATGTATATTATTTCAAGTAAGTAATTGAGAATGCGAGGTACTAGATTTTTCTGCTCTTATCTATAAAAGTATTCTCGACACAAATGAGAGATATCATGTCAAATGTATTATTGGAAAATAATTGTGAAGGCAAAGACATATCCCATAAACAGAGTGATTCTATATTTTTGGTCAGTAGTTTAATGCAACAGTGGAAATACAACATATTCATTTTCTAATAATGGTAATTTAACATATTTTGTATGAATATTTTCTATCGGCCACATTTGTAAATCACTTAGACCGTATACAGTAAATATCTGTAATAATGATGATGGACATGGAACATGATAAAAATCTTGTTTATGTAAAAATTTATGACCTATAATCACATTTATTTCAAGATCTTTATTATATGCTATGTTCTTAATTAACACAATAGTTCCATCAATTAATGCACAGCAGTTATCACCTATTACATCTATACGTAATGTCATGTTTGTTTTTCTTATTATTTTATATTGTGGATTACAACAACCATGTATTAATGGCCCAAATGAATGTGTAGATTTTAAGTCTACAATAAAATTTTTATTTTCTTCTGTCGGTAGTTTTTCTGTTACCTTATTTTTTTCATATTCTACACACCTTCGAACAATTTGTTGTAATGGTTTATCATATTTTTTCAACAGTTTCTTCAGAGTTTGCAAAAAATTTTCATACTTAAATGCACTAAAATTATCTAATGTACCAAATTTTTTTGCATCCCTTACAAGATGAATAAGACCGTGTACATTATGAGAGATGTTATGAATACCATAAATTAATGCAAATGATTTAACAAAATGTTCTAATAATTCTTGAGAATAATCATATAAATTTTGTAAATGCGTAGAACATAATATTCTAATAGCTACATGTAATGTTATGAAATGATCATATATGTCACTTCGAAGAATATTTTTAAAAGCTACAGGTCCTGTATATAAAAGCAGCTGTCGATATTCTGTAGCTTTCCACAATTTCACCAAATTCAATGATCGAGGCTTTCGTACGAACTCAAATGGTACGTGTATTTTTAATACATTTTCTAAATTTGATGATATAATTTGACATTTTCTATTTTCTAAACGAAATTTTAGATTGCCAAATAGCCACAAGTACAATAATCGTCGCATAACTCCAAGACAAACCAAATGCATGTAATCTAACGGTACATTATTTATTAAATCAAAATTTGGAATTTCTTCAATAATTGATTTTCCAATATGATGATCTTCATCGTTCTTTAATCTAAACTCAAGATCTGTTCTCAATGGAGCATTTATTTGAGGAAAACAAACCTTATTACAACGGAAATCACCTTCTGTTGTACATTTGGTACAGCTTGAATAACCAGTGTGTCCCTTAATTTGTAAAACGAATGCTTTTGCTGGAGCATCACATATTATAGAATTTATACTACATTGAATGTGTTTATCAATAACAATTCCATTATTACATAATAACTTTGTTTCCTCTATAAATTCTTTTAAAAAATCATTCGGATTACAAGGTTTCTGTTTACCATAATATATTCCAATAATAAAAACTTGCTTTGATTCTCCTATGGAACCCAAAATTGGCCATAACTGCTGTTGTGAGGACTTTGATAATGGTAATCCATCAATATTAACAGATATTTTTATATTAGTTACATTTATAGGAGCAGTTAAAAAAAAATTTTCTATTGACTTCAATAAACCAAAGTGATAATATTCTCCCCCAGCACAATTTCTAACATCAGTATTTCTTGGAGTATGCAAAAGTGTCCTGGGATCAGATGGTATGTTAGAAT